TGAGTAAGTGGGTTGGTTGAGTGAGATGGGTGAGTGAGTGGGTGGGGTGGATGGAGTGGGTGAGTCAGTGGGTGAGTGAGGGGGTGAGTAAGTGGTGAGTGAGTGAGTGTGTGAGTGGATGAGTGGGTGAGTGAGTGAGTGGGTGAGTAAGTGGGTGAGTGAGTGTGTGAGTGAGTGTGTGAGTGAAGTGAAGTGTGTGACCTGTCTGGGGGAGTGTGTGAGTGATTTGGGAGTCTGTTCCTAGTGCACGGTCTCACTGCCGATGGCTGCGCCTTGTGCTGCATCTTTGTCGCTCCCCTGGCCTCGTGCACCCTGCAGCTCTTCGCGTGAACCCCAGAGTCATCACTAACAACATCGTCGTCATCATCATCAACGTCTCATCATCATCGTCATCATCATCGGGTCAAAATCGTCATCATCCTCGTCGTCGTCTGCCCACGTGCGTTTTGACGCGCGACTGCTGCCCGTTGAGACAAAGGCGGCCGAGGGGGTGGGTGGAGGTCCCCCCCCCTCAGCCCCCCACCACCCAGACTCAGGTGTGTGTGTGTAAGTGTCTGTGTGTGGTGTCTGTCTGTCTGTGTGTGTGTGTCTGTCTTGTGTGTGTGTCTGTGTGTTTGTGTCTGTGTGTGTCTGTGTGTGTGTCTGTGTGTGTGTGTCTGTGTGTGTATATGACATCATAACAACAGTCTGGACCACTGGGACGGGTTCCGCAGGACTGGAAGGATGCCCTGGTGGTTCCCCTCTTTAAGAAGGGGGACCGTACCGACTGTAACAACTACAGGGGCATCTCACTCCTCAGTGTGCCGGGTAAGGTCCTGGCAAGGATTATTCAACATCGCCTTGCTAGGCACGCTGAGGAGAGGCTTGCGGAGCCCCAATGCGGTTTCAGGAAAGGGCGGTCCTGCACAGATGCCATATTTTCTGTCCGTCTGCTACAGCAGAGGTGTAGGGAATTCCAAAAAGACCTACATCTCTGCTTTATTGACCTGGTCAAGGCCTATGATACCATCAGTAGGCCTGGGCTCTGGGTTGTTCTTCGTGCTTTCGGAGTCCCTGACCCTCTGCTCACGATCATTAAGGACCTTCATGATGGTGAGCGGGCCCGGATAAAACTACGTGGCCGGGAGTTGGAGCTATTCCCTGTACACCTTGGGGTGCGACAGGATGTCCTCTGGCTCCCACATTATTTAACATCTATTTTGACCACGTAGTTCGTGAAGCCTTCAATAGCTGTACCGGGGGAATTTCCATTTGGTACAGATATAATGGGAGGCTGATCGACGCCCGGGGTGCGATCAAGGGATGGCTCCCTATTGGTCAACCACGTTATGTATGCCGATGATTTGGTAATAGCTGCTCACTCAGAGGAGGAGTTGGAGACGCTGCTGCTGAGACTGGAGCGTGCCACTAAGAGGTGGGGCCTTACCATCAGCCCCACCAAAACTAAGCACCTGCCTGGGTATTTTGTACCATCGGACACTCCACCCCCACAACTCCCAATTGGTGATGGGGCAGTTGTGGAGAGAGTGGAGAGTTTCCCATACCTGGGCAGTGTGCTTATGACCGGCTCCAGTCTATCAGCAGAGGTCTCACTCCGAATCAGTCGAGCGGCAATATCTTTTCATCGGTTGCGTAACGCTGTGTGGAAGCTACCTGGTCTGTCGCTCCGCACGAAGCTTCAGGTCTTCTCGGCCACGGTCATTCCCTCCCTTCTCTACGCTTGCGAGACGTGGACCCCCCCTGGTGGAGCATCTTCGCCGGTTGGAAACATTTAGGCTGGCCTGCCTACGATCCATCCTGGGTTTAACCAGGCTGGATTGTGTGAGGAGCTCACAAATCCTTGAAAGATCTGGGCAAAGTCCCATCAGTGAGCTCCTCCGGCAGGCAAGCTGCGTTGGCTGGGTCATGTAGCCCGCATGCCAGCCACCGCATGCCTAAACAGCTTTTGTTCGGCCGGATCGAGGGGGCTAGACGGGCGCGGCCCGGGCTGGAGAAGAGATGGAGTGATGTGGTACAGGAGGACGTGGAGCTGAGTTGACTTGCCGATGACTGGTACCAGCGGTGTCAGATCGGCCTCAGTGAGGAGCTCGTGAAGGACGCTACTGGGCAGTTGGAGGCAGTCGCCCTCCAACAACAACGGAGGGCGGAGGAGCGACGCTCACAACAACGAGCGGAGCGCCGGGTGGCTAAAGCACAGCAAGTTGGCACAGTAGGGGGCACAGGTGGTGCATCAGCCAGTCATCTCGGTCATCTCGGTCAGTCGACCCGTGGCACCTGCTGGTCTGCCCCGTGACCTCCTGCCAGCGGGCTTCGACACTTCACGTGGCCTCAAGGTGCACTTGGCCTGGCACAAGCATCGTGGTGACGTCACCGCCACTTAGTGGCGAATGGCGGTTGTTGTTGTTGTTGTCTGTGTGTGTGTCTGTGTGTGTGTGTCTGTGTGTGTATGTGTGTCTGTGTGTTTGTGTCTGTGTGTGTCTGTGTGTGTCTCTGTGTGTGTGTGTCTGTGTGTGTGTGTGTCTCTGTGTGTGTGTCTGTGTGTGTGTCTGTGTGTGTGTGCTGGTGTTTGTGTCTGTGTGTGTGTCTGTGTGTGTCTGTGTGTTGTGTTTCTGTGTGGTGTCTGTGTGTGTGTGTGTCTGTGTGTGTTTTGTCTGTGTGTGTGTCTGTGTGTGAGTGTATATCTGTTGTGTGTCTGTTGTATCTAACTAACTGTGTCGGAGGCCCCAG